ATGAGCATGCATTTTGGAATATGCGATTGTACCTTATGAAGAAGGATTGAATTTGAACCGAGCATGGTGCGTTCTGCGCCCGGGAGTCAGATACATAGACTAGTATATACCCCTTTGTATCCATAGAGACAGCACTGATGATTCATGATTATATAAAAGTATGCACAGTAGGAGACTACTACCACTGTCACAATGGTGATTGATATTTCTTACAATCCCAAAACACTCAACATTCCACAGGTTCAATGGTCGTCAAATTAGACCCCAGCAAGAGCCTGCTATGGTATATACAGACATGCCCTCAATCATCAACAAGTGTATCTTAGCAAGGAGTGTCCATGTGCAATATGAGACAAGTTTCCAACAAAGCCATGCGAAATCACTGGCAGCCGGAGATTGGAGCTCTGGCCCCGACCGAGGAAGAGAATATTCAACAGGTGGTAACGTACACAATCAAGGAGAGAAGAAAAAGCCGCACCAACGCCAAAAGCCAAAGACTTGTGAAGGTTCGTAAGGATATGCGTCGTCAAGCATGTATAGCAATAGAAGGAAATGGGCAGGGGAAGGCTTCATGTGCAAAGATAGATGGATGGAAAAGGGTGCCAAAAGCTATTGTATCGAGCGTCAAAACGAAAACGGGACATCACAGTCATCGAGTGGCCGTTTTGCCGCCACAGTCGGGAATCTTGAGGCCAGGCTTGAGGTTACGAGCCGCGTCCATGAGACCCCATTTGTCTTCCCAATTCTCGTTCGCAGTATTGTACTGGATCTTCCATGGCTCGTCGAATGCCTCGAACCTGTCGAAGTTGTTAGCCGCTCTGCTTGAAACCAATCGACTGCTTAAGGCGGTTGTAGGGTCCATACCAGAAGTAATCCGTGCCATTTTCGAGGGCTTGACAGACCCAGTCCTCCATGAATTTGTTCATCTCGTCGATGCCAGCCACCGCACCCGCGGTGTTGGTCGGGCAGTTAGCACCACTCCCGCAATCATTTCCTCCGCCGCTGGGCCAGCCAACTTCAGAGATGACCTGCTTCTTGTTGGTGCCCTTGGTCAAGGCGACATCATGATCCTGCCAGAATTGCCACGTCCAAGCCGCAGCTTGATCGACCGGAATGCCTCCGAAGAACGGATGCACGTTCGACATGACAACGTCTGCCGCTTGAACTAAGGTTGCGTCCCAGTTGTCACCTAAATCTGACGTTGCGACTGGTAAATCAAGATTCTTCTTTTTGAAGTAGTCCTTCACTTCCTGCATGTAGTTGACGAGCGTCGTTTGCGCGGAAGCCTTGTCGGTTCCTGCTCGAAAGAGGGCTTCGTTACCAACAATGGCCCCGTTGAAGATAGAAGTGTCCTTGGTGTCGTCGATAATCTTGTACAATTGATCTAACTGCCGTCTTGACGTCGTTTGGTTACTGTCGATCCACACACCGAGCCAGATTTTCATATCTTTTAACTCGAGCTTGTCGATCGCGTGAAGGACCATCTCCGTCTGGTTGCAGTCCGTACCGTAGAGTCGCACATTATTTGTTAGTTGCGTGAGCACGGCCATATCCCGGGTCACATTGTTCTGAGATGGAGGATACTTAAGACACAGCGGGTATTGGACACCCCACGGGGTGTAATCAATACCGGGAAAGACTTTGTGCAAATTCTGGTTGTTCATCAGGGCCTTGATCTCGGCAGAGTTCTTATCCAGATCCCCGTTGGCGCTAGTGTCGCTGGTGGCCGATTGCGTGGAAGTGGAGGAAGCCGACGACGACTCGCCACTGTTCCTGTGGCCTATTGTACCACCGACCGCACCTCCTACGATGGCCCCGATAATGATGAAAGCCAGGATTGCCCCCACAATCCATCCGCGCTTCTTGCTACCCCCTCCTGGTTTCGGCTTGACCCAGCGACCCTTCTCTCCAGCCTCGAGGCCAGCTCCCGGAACCGGTCCGTACGATGTATCGGCAGCACTCTTGCCCCCGAAAAGCCCTCCCAGATTCCCCAAAACCCCACCTGCTGCTGCACCTCCAGCTGCCGCAGGAACGGTCTGAGACTTGCGAGCACCAGATCTTGAGTTCGGCGCCGGTACAAAACCGTCATCACCATCATCGACGATCTCATCTGGATTGATATCAACAGGCAGATCATTCGAGCTATACGCCGAGTGCCGCTGGTAGGGGCCGGCGTTCAGACCCCCTACACCCTGATACGGGATATCATAGAGGTTGCGTTGCGATAGATTCGATGAGCTGAGATGCGAAACGGATTGACCCGGAGTCAACTGTCCAGCCGGGGCAGCGGCTGCCCCCAAAGCGACGTTGGAACCGTACGAATATCGATGTTCCGGCGGCGCAGGGATGTATGGGTTATCGGAGCCCGTGGTGCTGAACCCTCGCTCTGCAGGAATATTAGCCTCCTGGCCGTCTGTGCCCATGAGGGCCTCCACTCCACTCAAACGATCGTGGCTATTGGCAACGCTGAGAGCAATACCGCTAATGCCGCCTCCAACGGCCGCTGGCCCCAGATTATCCATCCCCGGTGTCGCCGTTGAACCCGTAAGTATCGAGGGTGACGGTTCTGGACCCCGACCCCATCCCCGATGGCCGTCCTCCGGCGCTGAGGCAAGTCCGTGGTCCATTCCCTGACCATTCATCGGATTCACGCGGGAACCGTCGGAGATCGGGGAAACATTGTCGTACTGCGAGTGCATGGCATGAGCTCTGGAAGATGGATGTGCTAAACTGTCATCGCCCTCGCCAAAACTGTAAGTCCGGTTGGGACCGGACATGGTTCGAAGCACAACCAACACACCCCTATTCCTCCGTGTGGATTCTTCTGCACTTTCCGGTACACAAAATGCTAGTTTTTGGTAGGCCAAGACAGTCCGCTTCGACTGCCAATGATGGGAAAGAAAGATGGTTATGGAAGTAGAAAAGGAGGCAGATTGATGGAATAGCCGGGTTGCGCCAGAAAGTTAATCAGATTGACCGAGCACGTTTAATTAATCCGGTCCAGGCCGCGACTTTTATGAAAGCGACACCTAATAATACCTACTGAATCAGCGGGACAGGCCACCGAGTCGAACCACGGTTCCAAGCGATAACAGCGGAGAAACTTGTGATATTTCAGKAACAGGCAGGAAGAACAAAGAAAGTGTGAAATATTAAGCGGTGGGAACTTGGGAGCATGGAAGTTTGACTGCAAGTTCATGAAGTTTCGATAAGTTGAAGGATTCCTTTCGTTAGACAGATCCGGGGTGAAGAGCATTCCGTAATAAGCATGGCAGAAGAATGCGACGTTGACAGGATATTTTTGGGATTCGGGAGACACCAATAAGATTTGTATCAGAGAAACACTCACCTGAGAGTCGACAGTGTGTCAGATCAAGCGAGGGTGAAAACGCCAGAAGGCGGAAACCTAAGCTAGCATCGCAATAGTCGTCGTTGTTGATGTCGATGTCGATACGGAGTACAGGAAGTAGAATAATTGTCCAAGACTAGGAGTTGACTGAGTGTAGGAGCGAGATGGAATCCAAACCGCCAAAGAAGACAAGGTCGCTTCAAATGACCAATTCACGAACATGAAAGAAGCAAAGTGAGGGGAAAGAAAGCCAGTGACTGCATGCGGAAATACTGTATGTTATGATTTTACTCCGTACAGAGGATGACTTTCTAACAGCTGAATCAAGCACAGACTCTTTGATGATGATGTTTGATGCTGACGGTCGGCTGGTACCCCGACAACCTGATTTAGTGCTGTCTGTCCGCCTGGTGTCCATAACAATAATTCACTCCAAATATCCCTCTTCCTCTATTTAAAATGCACCCATTTGCTGTTTTACTGATTTACTGTATTCTCATCATATTTGCTTCCCATAATCCAGTAATTATCGTGATTTCAACCCCAGCAATGTGTTGCTGATTCGCCGCCGAGGGTCTGGGATCCACGTTGTCAGGGTCTTTTTTTCCCTTTTCAAAGTCAAAGACCCTGGTTGCGGTAAACCCCAGCATGGAGAACTGGAGAAGCGAAATTACGGAGTCAGACTGAACATCATTTACTGCAGCCGGCATTTTCAATAATAGATTAATCCAATCCATACTATTTGACGCCACGCGACAAATACAATGAGCGCAGTGAAATGACGGAAATCAAATAGACCAATATGTACGTCTGACAGATGGACTAAGGTACATGACAATGTTCTACCTTACCGGGATTAGATAGCTCAAGTCAATTGATTCTGAAGCCATCCAACAGGGGATAATATTCTAGTAACTTGGAGGGTCTGAAACCTCCAACTGCCAACTAAGAACAATTCATTCTTATTTAATGACGATGATACAGATGCAATGAACCGCATGAACGGATGCAGTCAGATGCGAGACAGATGAGTCGTACCGTCCTCCTGAGGCTGGTTTATTTTTACCGCTGGCGTTTCCGGAACCAAGGTAACCCTATCTAACTCAATCTGGTAAGGTGCCTTCTTTGCCGGACCATGCATCTTTCCATTTTTGGCTTAGGCTCTTCATTAACGTGAAGGGTAAAGCATCCTGATTGGCTCAATTACCGCATGTGATCGTTGCTTGTCTCAGTTTGTGTCACTATCAAGAGGCTTTGACCCTTGATGATCGATTTCATCCACAGCAAAAGACCTCGAAAGAGAAGAAATGGAATTCATTATTGCATTCATTTTCATATCCATACCTTATATTCATAGTCATCACAGTCGTTGTATAATCATCGCAGAAGTCAAATATCATCTCAAACGCCTGCCCCGTTAATGAAACCCATTCATCCATCGTGAAGACTTCAAAACGATCAAATCCGCCGTCCTGGGCGTCTGTGATCGCATTGCCAAGAAAGTGTCTGCTCGACAGTACGGCAGATTCGTTATTTTCATAGTGTCGTCATGTCGTAGCAAGTAGTTGGCCACATCATAAACATCATAGAACAATCATAAAATGCGGCAGCCCCAGACTGTTAGCCAAAGTCTATCCCACGTCTGTTCCATTCAGGGTTCAACCTCTTCTGCGCTCCGTTGAGATGCAGACATCCCCTGCCGCTGCCTGCGCTCGAGGAACCTTCGCTTTCCGGCCCGTGTCTCGAAATGGCGAGGGATGGAGGAGGGATCTTGGCCTGCAGCTAGCATGGTGCTGCGCATCTTGTTCCGGTACGCGTCAACTGTTTCCAAAAGAAAAGCAAGGAAAAAAGTTAGCTATCGAATATTCCTTCACTGGCGCAAGAGGGAATGGGCCCGCCACGCAGCAAGTGGTGTAACAAGTGGGACAGCAACGTACGAGAGCGTTGAAGAAACAAAGGCCGCGAGGCGAAGACTCGACTTTGGCTCCAACTCATTCTGTAACCCAAGTCGTTGAGCAGAACCTCCTTCCTGTGCCGTCCTCTAGTCAGCTTAGGAACAGCGATTTCGCTGCCATCATCTGTCTGAGGTGCTGGAACTAGAACCCTTCCGACCGTCGCAGTCTCTTGGTCGTCATCCGTTTGATGGTCGTCCTTGGAATATCTTCTTCCAGGAACGACTCGACCACGTGGATGTTTCATTTGCACGGGGAAGTAGGTCCGCGGATACACCGAGTTGAACTCCCGGTATGAGTCCGGAATTTCGTTCATGTTAACTTGGTCCAGCGTAACCTTGACACGGACACGACAACCCCTTTGCGGGTCGTCAACAAGTATGAACTTGCGCCGCTTCCCGTCAGGCAAAGCTCCGAAGAGTGCTTCATGGCTTGGGTTGCATTCGTCATCGTCGTCTTCGACTGCTTCAGCCTTATGGACTGTAGTCGCAACCGCTGCATGTCTCCCCAGGCTTCCTAGTCCGCTATCCCGTATCAAGGGGGGTATCGATGGCCCTCTAGATCCGCCTCCTGCACTGGCAGACGTAGGGAATGTAGGATAACCGTGGAAGACCTGTGCGGTGCGGATATCTGTGGCTGTATGTCCTGACGTGAGGGGAGCTTCCGCAGCAGGCTGACGATCGGTACCGTTCGAAAACTCAGTGGTACCTATATTATGCATAGTATGACAATATATAGAATTAGCCTACGCTCAGCTTCACATGGCACATCACAGTTCAAGGCGTAGAGGGATCCAGCACCCATGGTGACACAATAAACAGAACGTGATTGGGTATGGGTTGCCAATTGAGAAGAGAACCACCCCAGAAGATAATAAAAGTACATCAAGTATGACAATGCCAAGGACGGCAAGAATATATGCAGAAGATAGAAGCGAAGGGAATTTTTTTGAAGATAAGCAAAGGCAATGATGAAGAAGGAAAAAAAAAAAAAAAAAACACCCAAGCCAGTGGTATCCATACGAAAGGGTCGTGCATGAAGATTGTTACATGATTATCGATCATAGACACCGTTGTCAAATCCAACAACGGTTATAGAATGGGATGAAGTTCAAACACATCACATGTGGTGAAACATACCGCTGACATCTTCATTCCCTCCACTACCTTCAGGTTGAGCATGGTGATGGTGTAGCTGTGGGGGTCCCATAGGCAACGGCCCAAGTCCGGGACGGGAACCAGGCGCTGCAAGACCACCTGGGATACCCGGAGGGACAGGAGGAGCAGCAGCCATGTGGGTAGGTGGTTGCGCAGGGAGCCCCTGGCGCCGGTTCAACTTTGCCATTCTCCTCACGCGTCGGCTTCGAAGTCGAGGATCCTGGTTGCTGTTCCTCCAGCTGTCGACGGCTCGTTGAATGAGTCCACGCTTCCCTCTCAGCGCGGGATTCAAATCAGCAAGAGCCCAACCGACGGCGTTGCACTCCGTTTCATAAACAAGTCGATTGCCCTTGTATTGGTCCTTGCTGCAGCAAGCCCGAGGATAGACACAATTTTCTGTCTTGAACTCTTGGGTAAGGTTGTCCACATTGACAGATTCGACGTCACACCGAATAGTATATTCCATCTTCACACGATCTCGAGAATACTCAAACGCGATCCATTGGACTCCGTTGCTATCTTGTCGCACTACGAGAGGAGTTGTCGCCGGAATTGGCCCCGGCGCTGCGCTGGAGCTTGCACCGGCGCTTGGAGTTGTATGGTGGATACTATTGGCGGAAAGGGGACCACCAGCCGATGCAGAATGCGGTGGGCTCAGCATTGCTCTCTGGGGTGGTGTCGGTTGAGACGCCGTGACGGCAATAGGACTGGGGGCCATAGTAACAGAGGGTGCTTGGGGAGGCTGGTGAGGTAGCTGTGCGGTGCTTGTATGATGAGGCAGAATCATAGATTGCGATGTAAGCGGGTGCTGTTGGGGAGACGTGTGCGCTGTATATGGAGGAGGCTGTACAGGGTTGATAGATGGATATGGTTGGTACCCATACATCTGTGGCGCCAGTTGCGGTGATTGCGCATAAAGCCCTCGGCTATGTTGATCATGTGTTTGAGAAGCGACTGATGCTGGAGAGCTTGATTGTGGGGTGTGGTAAATCGGAGGATAAGGCCTCTGCATCTGAGCGGTGGACGCCATGATTTCAGGAAGGCCTAGCAGGGTATCAGCGGCTGTGAAAGGCAATTTCTGCATGCTTTGTACTCTGCTAAAGCGGTTGGTATCAGAGTCACATACCACTAGATGAATACTGTCCGGATGCAGATGCCGTGCTATAGGGTGTATTGGATGAGTAGTAGTTCTGTTCGTGTGTCGGTTGACCGTAATGGGAGGTATGATGCTGCAAAATGCTGTTCCCCAACGCTTGGGACGCGTATGGTGCACTAGGTAGAGAAGTGGTGGGCTGAAGAGGAGAACCAGGTGTCTGTTTTGGCGGCTGGGCAAGGCTTGCTGAACGAGGGTGTTGTAGATGAGAATTATGTAGATCTGAGTGTCCAATCGCCGAATGCCTGATCTGAAAGTCCAATGACAGCTGGGTCAGTCAACGCACAAACTTCAGAGAACAAAGTTTAGAAAGTGTATCAGGCGTCTAGATCAACATAATGTGCTGCGACAAGTGGCATTGAATGGATGTCCAGGGCGGTAATGTAAGTCTTTGCCTCCTGAAGAGAAGACGCTGAGGATGAGAGTTGTGTACAGCTTTCTCCCTCTCAGAGACACCGCAGACTCTTTCCCATGGGATCATTGTTCATGACACAAGCCAGTTGGGAGATCCATGAGTGACGACCAAGGGTGGACACTCATGACATTCAACCAAGCATTGGCCTGAACATCACCCACGCAGATGAAGGCGGAAATTGTGGTTAGGCCTTAGCTGTTTTCATGTCTTCTGCAAAGGTTGTGCTAATATGGCTTGAGAAGAGGGGGTACCGAACACAAAAGCAGCAAGAGTACACGCCCTTGGTAAAGGAACGGGTCTTGCCGAAGACAGCAGCGTAACGGCGCGATTGAAGAGCACGCCGCTAAAGACGCCGTACAAGTAAGGGACCGACGAATTGTCGAAGTGAGGTCCAGATAAACAGCTGCCTGCTGTATGTGCTTGCAACAGGCAATGCAATCCAACGATATTCCACCCACGCTGGCAAGGGGGCAAAAGATGCGGGGATTGTCCTTGAACAAGACAAGGTGGCAGACATAAAGAAAATTTAAAAGGGAGAAAATAACAGTGGAACTTACATGGCCGTCGACAGGCTCGTCCTTGTATTTGGGTGCAGGTAGAGGACCTAGTTCACTATGAACCATGCCGGTCGTGAGTGACCTTGAGCGGCCTCGGGTGAAGAATCGGTTTCTTTCCTCTGCTCTTTTGCCGGCCTCTTATGATCTCAATGTATTGTTGCTGGAGTTTAGGAGGAGACTGGGATGTGAATGAGGAGAGCTTGGTGAAGGTTAGTTTGAGAGACAAGAACAATAACTCCGAAACGCTATCATAGATAGACAGAGTTGGGACGGAACGGAAGCTAAAGGGAGGCTGAACAACAACGGGAGTGGCCCGCAGGAGCTGAGTGGCTCTGCACTGGGGTATGAGAGAGAGGAAGATCTCTCAAAATGTGTCAACGGTTGCAGCGGTGATGTGGAGGGTCCAGGGTGGTTATTTAGCTACACACGAGGCCTGTCCTTCAGGCAGGCAGACGGGTCATCAGCACCAGCACGAGCGATCACAGATCAGGAATGGAGGCAAATTGAAGACCCGGACACTTAAAAGGACAGAATGTATGAAAAATGAAATAATAAGAAAAGCAAAAAAGAGCAACGGCGGAAATAATAATTAAAAAAAAATAACAAAGCTGAATGGGACTAGGAGAGCGCCAGAGGGAACTGCTGAGTGGTGGGAAACAGGGTATATCAGAATGAGCTTGTCACTAGCGGGAAGGTGGTGTAATATTGACTAGGATGGATGCAGGATGCAGGAGGGAATGTGACAAAAAAAGAGGGAGTGAGGGAGAGAAGAATCAAAATGACTCGATGGGATCCAGTCCAAGAGCTCAATCTGTTTAGGTTCTTGCCGGACAGTATGTTTGGGGTGGATGATGATGTGCAGCTTGCAGAAATGGAGCAAGATGAAAGCCAGACTAAGGAACCCCAGGAGTAGAACTAACCTGATATCACTGCATGTAGGCTAAGTATTCCTCTCCTCTTTCCTATGTGGAAGAGAAAAGGGGAAAACAAATGAGTGATCAGTTCAGTCAACGTCACAGCGAGCCTGAACAGGACGCGGTCGAGCGTGTAGGACAAAGATTGGTAATAATGGGGCAAAGAAGAGTAGACAGAGTCAGACTTCCTACTCCTTCAGTCTACTGAGGCAACACAAACAAAGTGAGAAAAAGCAAGCCAGTTTTAGATCGGAGAAAGCCGCCAGTGCACTAGCTGGGATGAAATAAAGGAATGGGGAGTCGAGCTTCTTTCTGGCCTTGGTTCGCGTCCCTTTCCTTATTAACTGTGCTCAAGAGTACACGTCGAGACTTCATATACTGTAGGCACAAGACACATGGATAAATTGAAGAAGAGGGGTGCGATAGGAAACAGTCTCAAGAAGTACATCTATCAGTGGCCCATTAATCTCCGGGCCTTTATAGTAGGCAGTAGGGCCAATGCACGGAGTACTGTGTGTGGTATTATGACCACATTTATTATTAGTACTAGCATTTCTATCGTTACAAATAATAATAAACTAAATCAGAGGCTAGGGAGAATGATATAGGAATGGCTAGACGATGGCTAAAAGGGCTTTGGGAGAGGATATGCAGCTAGGTGATTAAAACCTGCCACTACTCAAGTTGCTAAGAGACCTGCTTGAAATGATAATAAATGCCAACATAATGGATGTGTCTGGGCTAGGTGTGTGCCCACAATTTAAGCTGTGGCACAAGTGTTGGACTTGGGCAGAATAATTACCATTTAACAAGTACCTAGTTAGTTGGCTTCCACTATTCTGTGTCCTGGTTGTATTAACCACTCTTGGTAAATGCGACCCTTCTTAGGGGTGGAAACACTCTTGAAGCAAGCTCCTTTAGCCCTTTCCTTTGTTGAGAGCTTTTCTTTTTCCTTTCTTTTCTCTTTTTTTTCAATATAGGTTATTGATCCTCATTTTTCGCATGTGGCTCCTGTCTCTGAAGTGCTCGAGAATATCCTTGGCATTACTGGATTTCTGATGTCCATCACAGTTAGACTAGGCACTTCAGTTGTTTAGTCTTTTTAAGTTTTTGATGGATGATTTGCTCTCAGTAGATCGTTGGTCATGGATGGTCTGGAATAATGAAGATTGGCAACGGAAGAAGAGGCACCGTACAGTAAGTTAGTTGCTTGGCTAGTGAAATATAATGATACCTGCAGTGGTCAGGTTAGGTTACCATGTCTGTAATAATAATAATAACAATGTTACGTAGGAAAGGTAAGTAGCCTAACTTCTTCAACACTGCCTACTTCTCTTCTCTTAAAGAGTAAATGTTGTGTTCCATGTTCAAGCTGGCAGATGATCCCAGTTCAGGTATCACACATGTTATTTTTCTTGTGTAGGCACTTGGGAATAAGTAACTGTCAAGGTAATTAATTGTGCTGGTCAACAGCAAAACAGTAGTCATCATAGTTTACTCCATAATAATCTGATCTCAGTGTGTAGGGGTGGATACTTAGACACAAATAATCCAGTCAATGCTGGGTGTTGGATTTACGCCCTCCTTTACACGAACTGAGCTGCGCCGTGCCCTGACAGCCTCCACCCTGTAATGCATGGGCCTTTTCTGTACCAAATTGATCGGCCGAGTTTGTATATCTCTAACACTGTCGAGTTCGCAGGTTGATATTGGTCTTTCTTGAACCATACTTACTATCATTATCTTCATAATCCAGTTGGCTGTCCTCTGTTTCTTCTCATTTTTTAGACTTTCGGAGGGTTCTCTAGAGAAAAACAGGCAGTTTAGTAAGGACTCGATCTGGTTACATTCTGTATGGAATCGACCGATCTTACTTGCTGCCGTCAGCCTTGTTTCCACGGGTGGCGCCAAATCCACCCCTCCCGGGCCATCCATGATCCATCCACAGTTAGCCATGGTGTGTGTTTGGTAATTTGTCTGTCTCCATCTTTTCATCGTATTTTCTTTTTTCGTTTGCTAATTTTCTTTTTTTCCAATTGCTCCCCCCGACTCGAGACCAAATCAGAATCTCGAGATAATATTCTCATGCCAAGCTCAGTTCGGATAGTCTGTGATCGAGCTACCAGGTCTGCCTTTCTGGCCCTGTTCAAATAAACTCGAAACAGCCTAACGGCGCCCATTCGGATGATTCACCTCCAAGCGGATACAACTCTCGCAAACCATTGTGTAACTCCAGGTCGTAAGCGCAAAGTGGCTGATCAATCGTTGCCCGGCGAGTCCATTGTAGGCTCCTGAATCCTGCTGTTTTCCAGTGATAACCCTCCTGCATGTGCATTATGAAGGGATGCTTCAAGCCTACAAACAAGCGTCCTCAAAAGGGCAAACCTCCGCGGATGATCAAATAATAAACAGAGGCAGGTCGTGTCATAGGCCGTCACAGCCGTAGCCATCACACTAAAGACACCTCTCAAGACGACCTAAGGCTCGTTAAGAAAGCCCATCTGTGAATGGTCAAGACCCATAGATGAGACCCACTATGCACGATCATGCAATCAGATTCTTCTAAATAATTAGTGAATCTTGGCATTCTGGACCTACACAGTAGGTAGGTAATGATTGTGACCCCCTCTACCCTCCATTTGCTCCGTACTCTGTACTTTCAGCTGGTCGACTACCCACCTTAGAACCTTCAAGCCTTCCAAGAATGATAAAACAAAGGAATTATTAGTGCCCTAGGGAGTAGGTAGCTTCCAGCCACGATGTAACAGAGGCATTTAATTGCGCACTATCCTGGATTTTAAATGTCTCCGATTACCGACAGTTAGAAATCATACCTAAGGTGAGGAGGGTAAATTGGAAAAAGGGCACGTCCTCTCCCAAGCTTCAATAACTTCGCAGGTTGTGTTGCCACTGTTGGACTTGCCATCCAGTCTTATCCTGAAATATCTTGGCTGGATGTTAATGTTGATGGTTTTATAATGAAAAGTTGCAAGAATTATTGAACCATGTCAAAACTCTCCATGGAAAAGATGAACCAATAAATAT